ATACAGTACAGGTCCTCTTTAACAGCAACTAAGATATGACCCGTTTTGTAGCCCTCTTATGCTATCTTTTGAACCCCAGTTATGCAGATAAATAAATCTATAGCATTTGTGCGTGGCCATCCAACAAGCTTCCAGCAAAAGGCAAACACAAAATGTTTAATGCAACTAGACTGCTCAGTAATCAGCTTTAAACATTTTCTCCCCCATGCCGGACAAAGTTATCCAGTGATCCAGCTGTGCTGCAATGAACCAGTGTCATGTAAATGTAATGCCTTTGTACATCCCTATAACAGGAGAGATAACAGCAACACATGCTTTCATTAAATAAAGACACATATACATTGGGAATGATTTATTCATGTTTTGACCAGTGTATAGATGGTCGAATGCCGTTCGCACAGCATTCCCGCCACTAGTTGGAGCTGAGGAGCACATGAAGCTCACATATACTGTGCAGAACATTTACATCAGCCCCATTGTGTATGATATTAATATTTCTAGGCTCACATTTTTATGAGATTGTTATAATTTTTTTGCAAATACGCAAGCGAAATGTTGCAATACAAATTGTCAATGTATTTCTAATACAAAACTTTAGTTTCTGGTGCTATAGGGCAAGAATGGAAAAAAAACAAGTGAATGGAACTATAATGATGTGCAAAGGGCAGTAACTCACAGCAAAATGAAAGCAAAATTGCCCGCAGCCTTCTGTCCTAGGCACTGACCTAAACTTGGTCAGTGAAACGTTGTACATGGTATGGATGGGAAAATGCCTAATTTGTCCATCATTTAGTATGGGTGTTCCCCATGTCCTTAATGTTCAGTGCAGGAACATATGACCTTCTTCATTGACCAACCAGAGGATGCACTTAATTTAAGCCACCAAATAGTGGCAAGCTATACCTGGTACAAGACAACCCCCTCCTCCACTTCTCTTCTGCTTAGTGAAAGAGTGCCATATCTTAATCCACTATAAATCTATAGACATGAAGAAGCCCCCATTCAAATCTGAACATGACAATTTTTAGATGATTTTTAAGATTTTTTTCAGCCTTGAGCATTTTTTGTTCTAGCCAATGGAAAGCTAGCTATTATGAGGAGGAGATGATCAGCTCTGGTCTCCGTATAGCCCAGTACATAATGCCAGCAGACTGGACTTCCTGACCTCACCAATGGACTGACAATTTGTAGGCATGACAACCAGACAAGGACACCACTGATCTTTCCATGGCTCGGTTTGTAAATGATTGGTGGATTGGTTGTAAATAGTACATGCAATCATGGCTGTCAGAATGTTGTACATTGTTTCCTGTACCACTGAGATTGCAAACCTGTGAAACTTACCTAGAAATGCAGACCATACCACCACATTCTACATTAGATCATCCTCAAGAACAGGTTTATAAATACTTTTAAAAGTAGGACAGAACTTGGAAAAATTATGTATCTACGGTCCAGGGCATGCTGGTTCTCAATTCCTAAGCCATAATGCACACAGTACATAGAGCAAGTAGAGGGTTGTGCCTCATCTCATTGCACCGTGACACACTTGGACACTGCACGCAAATAGTGGAATCCCTAACATTCCCCATTACTCATTAGAGGTGGGCCTGATTTCTTTAGTAGGTGGCGTTAAGCTACACATAGTACAGTTTATCTTCCCCTTGCAGTAACAGGTTGGTTATAGTACAAGCAGACAGGAACATGTGATCTATCTTGTAACCTGTTAAAAGATGCACAAGCAGATAGGAAAAGTTATAGAAGAGCACATCTCTGACACTATCACCTCTGATCTCATCGTCCAGTGCGGAGCTGCATCCAGTAAATACATAGAACAAGTAGACACAACACATCTGATTTATCATTGCTCATCAAAGGAACACCTGATCTCATTGTCCTGTGCTGAGCTGCCTATAGAAAGTATGCATGACAAGCAGACATCAGCACCTTTGATCTCCCCAATTGCGTTTTCTGCCTATAGTATGTACATTGGACAAGCAGGCATCAGAGTCTCTGAATTCCCCATTACCTTGTGCTGCCTATAGTAAGTACATAGGACAAGCAGACATTAGTGCCTCTGATCCCCCCATTACCTTGTGCTGACTAGAGTATGTAGGATAAGGAGACATCAGTGCCGCTGATATTCACATTACATTGTGATGCCTATAGAGAGTAGCTAAGACAAGCAGGCATCAGCGCCTCTTATTTCCCCATTACCTCTTGATGCCTATAGTAAGTAGATAAGACATGTAGGCATCAGCACCTCTTATTTCCCCATTACCTTGTGATGTCTATGGTAAATAGATAGGACAAGCAGGCATCAGCGCCTCTTATTTCCCCATTACCTTGTGATGCCTATGGTAAGTAGATAGGACAAGCAGGCATCAGCGCCTCTTATTTCCCCATTACCTTGTGCCGCCTATAGTAGGAAGGTAGGACAAGCAGGCATCAGTGCCTCTTATCTCCCCATTACCTTGTGCTGCCTATAGTAAGTAGATTGGACAAGCAGGCATCAGCGCCTCTTTTTTCCCCATTACCTTGAGCTGGCTATAGTGAGTAGAAAGGACAAGCAGGCATCAGCACCCCTTATCTCTCCAATACCTTGTGCAGCCTATAGTCAGTACATGAGTCAAGCAGACATCAGTGCCCCTGATATTCTCATCCAGTACTGAGCTGCCTATAGTGGGTACAAGCAGACCTTAGCACCTCTGATCTCTCCATTACAATGTGCTGCTTATTTTAAGTACATAGAAGAAGCAGACAGCACTTCTGATCTCCTCATTACTCTTAAGGTCAACACCTGATCTTTTAATTGTTCATTCTCAGTGTGGAGCTACCTACAGAAAGTATCCTGAACTAGCACACATCAGCACCTTTGATCTACCTATAGTAAGGACATAGAGCAAGCAGACATCAGGACACCTGATCTGCCTATAGTAAGGACATACTGTACAGTAGATCAAGCAGACATCAGCACTTCGGATTTCCCTGTTACATTGTGCTGCCTATAAAAAGACAGAAAATCTGTTCTCCCTATTACTCATCAGGGGAATACTCGAACTTCCGTCCAGTGCAGTGCTGCTTATAATAGGTCAGTAGAACAAGCAGACAGCAGCACTTCTGATCTCCTCATACAATACCTACCTATAGGTAGTAACCTATAGGTAAGTACTGTACATAGAACAAGTAGGCAGCCCCCCTGATCAGAAGAACACTTGACCTTCACATTTTACAATGCTGTGTTGACTTTAGTAAGTACCTAGAACAAGCAGACATCAGCACCTCTGATCTCCCATCGCCCTGTGCTACCTACAAAACAAGCAGGCAGCACCTCTGATCTCCCCATTGCTCAGCAGAATTCCTGACCTTCACATTGTCCAGTCCTGAGCTACCTTTAGTAAGTCCCTAGAACAAGCAGACATCAGCACCTCTGATTTGCCTATAGTAAGTTAAAAAAAAAACAGAACACCTCCGTTCTCCTCTAAACCTGTGCTACCTACAGAACAAGCAGTCAGCAACTCTGATCTCCCATCACCCTGTGCTGCTTGACACCTCTGATCCCCATTATTCTGTGCTGCCTGACATCTCTGATCCCCATTACCCTGAACTGCCTGCAGAGAGAACAAGCAGTCACCACCTCTGATCTCCCATCACCCTGTGCTGCTTCTCTGATCCCCATTACTCAGTGCAGCTCCTATAAACCTGTGCTGCCTGACATCTTTGAACCCCATTACCCAGATCAAGCAGTCAACATCTCTGATCCCCACTATTACTATTATATCCACATTACTCTGTGCTGCTTAATACCTCTGATCCCATTGCCCTGTACTACCTGACTCCTTTGATCCCCATTACGCTGTGCTCTTACAGATTAGGTAGTTAGCACCTGTGATACTTATTACTCTGTACTGCTTGGCACCTCCGATCCCCATTACCCTGTACTGCCTGACACCTTTGATCCAAATCACATTGGAAGGCTTGACACATCTGATCCCCATCACCATGTACTGCTTGACACCTCTGATCCCCATTACTCTGTACTGCCTGACACCTCTGATCCACATTGCTCTGTGATGCCTGACACCTCTGATCCCCATTTCCCTTTACTGCCTGACACCTCTGATCCCCATCACCTAGTACTACTTGACACCTCTTATCCCTATTACCCTGTACTGCCTGACACCTCTGATTCCCATTACTCTGTACTGCCTGACCCCTCTGATCCCCATTACTCTGTACTGCCTGACCCCTCTGATCCCCATTACCCTGTACTGCCTGACCCCTCTGATCCCCATTACTCTGTACTGCCTGACCCCTCTGATCCCCATTACCCTGTACTGCCTGACCCCTCTGATCCCCTTTACCCTGTACTGCCTGACACCTCTGATCCCCATCTTACTATTACAGAAGCAGGCAGCACCCCTGATCTCCCCATCGCTGACTTTAGCAGTCAGGCAGTGTTGGCTGGAAGATCCTGCCCACTACTTGCTGTTTGTGTTGCTTAGTATAAGGGGGCGGCGCCAGGGAGGTTGGCAATGGTATAATCTCTTGCTCCAGATTATTTCACTCTCCGAACAGCAGAGAGCTGTGAGCAGCAGCTGACATCGCCAGGAGTTATCGTCCCCTCCGCTGCCTCCTCCGCCGCCACCGCCGCTTCTTCCTCGCCGAGGGATTTAATACAACTCCACAGACCTCTGCGCTCCTGATCCATCTCCGCCCTGCCAACATCGGAGTTCTGGCTTGGAAACTTCGCTGCTTCTACCCCCCAGCCCCAGACGTGCTCGCTGCTGCCTTTTGTGCCCATACATACATATCTCTATCTCTGAATGTAGCATGATTGGGAGGGGAGAGGGTGCAGAGGAGCTCCGTGCAGACAGGTGATGGGCGGATCACAGGAGATCTAGTGCTGCCTCTTTGGTCTGATAAGAGCACGAACATGCAGACCACCCTGCGCCTCATTGCCTAAGACAACCATCTGCAAAAAAATATAAAGACCCCCAGACACAGGAGCAGTTCTGCAGCTCCTACATCAAGACGTTGCATTGTCATTCAGTAGTAAGTGCAGCAGAACGCAATGACGAGCTGGGTTTGGATTTTGCTTCTAGGCGTCTGCTACCTGTCTCCTTCCTTTGGCGAGGTAGGTCGATCGCTAAAATCGGTTCTTCTCCCACCATGCTGCCCATTTCTCTGGGTACAAGTTGGTGTTTCAGCACCCTGGTCCGCTTCCCCAAGAGCTTCCGCAGCAGCTTTAATGACAGCTGGCCCTCCATGGGGTCCTGGCTGCGCTGGACTCGCCACTGGATCAAAAAAATCCCACCAAAGCCATTTGCTTTTTGTATTTAGTGCACACCATTGACAAATGCACATTCTCAAAGACCATGCCTGGACAAGGTTAGGGCATGTTCATGCACATTGCACTTCTAAAGCCTTTTTTTTTCTCCCCTTCTCTTCAAACTACACTGTGTCAGAGGCCTTTACACATGTGCTTAAATGTGATATACTGTATTCTTGCTGAGCACATCTGTCTCCTTGTCTATACTGCCTCCTAGTACAAAAGTTACAAAGCTCGAATCAATCTGGATTTGTTTGATCTTTAGACCTGCAGGAGGAGAAAGAAAATGCTAAATGCAATTGGCGCTGCATAAAAAAAAAATGATATGTATTTGCTAATATTGAACACAGAAAAGAAAATTAATTTCCTACCTCTATATAAGACACTGCACTAACGTTAAGCTGGTCAACAGCTCTTTATTTATTTATTTTTTTCCAGGTAGCTACAGCTAGAAAATTAATTAGTGGTTAGGGAATCAGTGGATTTCCCTAGAGCCATGCAGTTTTTAAGAGGGCATTTGTGCCTTGGTTCTGCAAGACCAAGTTCAAAGAAAAAAGGTGTAAAAAAAAAAAAAAAAAAATGAAAAAAGATTTTACATTTTGCTACAAAAAAACAAACAATAAATACAATAATAAATAAAATGATGTGCAATGGTCCATGGCAACCAGATTCTTCTGGCAGATCAATAAAAGATCAATTCTGATTGGCTGCTAAGAAATACTGCACTTTGCCCATGCCCCGGTGCCATATAAAACAATCCTTTAATGCCAACCTGATTATGCCTTAAATGCATATTTTTTTAATTTTAGCTATAAAAATAGCAAAAAAAAAAAGCAAGTTTATTTCTTTACGCATAGATCTGCTCATGGATATGTTTGTACATTGTGTCTGTTTTGTTGTAAATTTGGCATGCAGTTTGCAGGATCGTGGATAATTTGGTGCATGAAGCGTGCCCCCAGCACAGACAAGGTTAATAATGGATTTTTATTAGTGAGGTTGCAGAATGATCATGCCGCCGCATGTGTGGGAGAACTGGGCCAGACCTGATAAAGTTTCAAGGCTGTGTTGTAGACTGTAATATGTATCCTCGAGGTTCTTAAAGGGAAAAAACGTAAATTCTGGCACCTTTGGTGGTATTTTCTCGAATGGCAGGGTTTTATGACTTTTTTTTCTCATCTTTTGATGCAGCATTGAGGGGAAGTGACGGCTGTAGTTTTTTTTTTAGAGGGGAGACGAGATTGTGTTGGAGGATTTGCTAACTTGACTATAAGGCTTGCGAACTGTGCTAACCCCCTCCCCAAAACTGAAAGGATAAACTTAGCTCTTGATGTTGATTTTATGGCTGGATTGAAGCAGTTACTTGTCTAACCTATTTCTCAGATGGTTTTGTTTTACATGGAAGTGATGGTCTCCAAAGCCAATGGTCTTTTCTTCCATGTAGTCATTTTTATGTATACAGCAGATTGGAGTTGCTGAGTTGCAACCACATTCTAATATTCAGCTACATAGTGCTGACGCTGTAGAGAGCACTACACACTACTATTAGTCCCTGCCCTAGAGGCACTTACAATCTAATGTTCCCACCACGTTCACTCATGCAATATTGAACGAGTTAACCTTCCTGTATGCATGCATTTGGACAGTGGGAGGTAACCAGAGCACCTAGAGGAAAGCCACACGAGCGTGGTCGAACATACATAATCTATACAATGTATCCCTAGTAGGAGATAGCATAGAGTATATCATCAGCACACCTTAATTCATGACATTTTTTTTTTTTTATGTTACTGAGCCATGTAGGGCTTCTCCAAGACATGTGTGACCTGGTCACACCTACCTTGAAGAAGAAGTCCTTTGGATCTCTGAAACCTTTGCAGTGAATTGGCATTTTTTTCTGGAAAGCCACACAAGCATGGTGTGAACTTACATATTATATATAGTGTATTCCTAATAGGAGATACCTTAGAATATGTTATCAGCACACCTTAAGTCATGAAAAAAAAATATCTCTAATGCTTATGAGCCATGTAGGACTTCTCTAAGACATGTGTGACCTGGTCACACCTACTTTGAAGAAGGAGTCCTTTGGAGCTCGGAAACATTTGCAGTGAAGTGACTTTTTTTGCATGAATTATGGTTTGGTTACAACATATTTTACGGATTTATGTTGCTTGTTGCAGCAACTGCATCCGGGTGAACCCCTGTATGGCGTGCTGGTTGGATATAAGCCCAGGTCCACAAGCACTGCAAGGGCACAGAGAGGAAACCCATTCAGATAGAGTACATCCAAACCTAAAGTAGACAGTGCCCCTTGTGGGAAATAAGCCCAATACTGGAGCACTGCGAGGCTACTGAGCTGACAAGCTGTTCTTAAATCTCCAAAAAAAAAAAAAGTTTTTCCTAGCCCTTGATAGTACTAAAGCCGTAATTGCAAAAAAAAAAAAGTGAATAAACTGATTTTTTTTGTTGGCTGGAGAGCTTACAGTCCATATGCAACACATCATTGGCTGCACCTGGAAACCTGATTTGTATTTTTATTATTAAGTTAGTTATTATTCATTATTCTGACCAGCCATAGAGCATGGCTATTTTTTTCTGCTTATGTGATGTACCGGGCCAGTTTTATGTTTCTTCTTTGTGTCTTCATTTCCAGACAGTTTCTTGCAGGATGTCAGACTTATGGCTAAACAGTACTTGATATTATATTTGTAAACTCCTACATGATGTTAGCTTCATGTCAACGATTGCTTCATTTGCAAAACATAAATGTTTAAAAATGAAATAGGAGTTTAAAATGTTATTTTCATGTTTTGATAACAGCACATAGAGCAATGAGATGCAGTAAACTATAGTACCCAGTCTAAGACTGAGTTTTAGCTGCTTGGCGCAGGCAGGCCAATGAATCCTGGCTTTTCTGCTTGCTGTAGGGTTTGACATAATGTTGTTCTTTTTTTAATTTTATAAGCAAACTAATATTTGACGCACGTGTGATTTAACCAGGACCTAGTGACATTACTGCAGTATTAGGTATATCGTATTTCATGTCTCCCTAGCTTTGCTGTTTTCTGTGCCTGCCAAGTACATTGGAGGGATAGCAGTGTATTGAGGACATAGACAGTCTCACCTTGAAGAGGGCTTCCATGGGTGCAGAAGAAGAAAGTAGTTCAGCATCCCTAAAACTGGCAAGTGCAAAGTTCTACTACAAAGTAGTACTTTGCACTTGCCAGTTTTAAGGATGCCGAACTACTTTCTTCTTCTGCACCCATGGAAGCCTTCTTCAAGGTGAGACTGTCTATGTCCGAAGACCACCTAGTTCTTCCTGGGACCAGGTAGCCGATGCTCCTTAAAAATGACACCTGTCACCTAACGTTTGAGGTTTTCTCTAGTTGTTGTCAATGAAGCTGGCTAATAAAAAGCCCTCATGGCTCCTGAATTGGACAGACTGGCTCCTGGATTCCAAAATAATTAGTCCACCCCTGACCTAGGTTAGGACTAGACAAATCCCAGGAGTCGAGTAGCCAATGCTCCATAAAAATTACACCTGGCGCCTAACTTTTGAGGTTTTCTCTAGTTGTTGTCAATGAAGCTGGCTAATAAAAAGCCCTCATGGCTCCTGAATTGGACAGACTGGCTCCTGGATTCCAAAATAATTAGTCCACCCCTGACCTAGGTTAGGACTAGACAAATCCCAGGAGTCGAGTAGCCAATGCTCCATAAAAATTACACCTGGCGCCTAACTTTTGAGGTTTTCTCTAGTTGTTGTCAGTGAAGCTGGCTCTTAAAAAAGCCAGCTCCTGAATTGAACAGACTGGCTCCTGGATTCCAAAGTAATTTCTCCACCCCTGACCTAGGTCAGGATTAGACTAATCCTGTGAGCCAGGTAGCCAATACACCTTAAAAATTACACATAATTTTTCTCTAATTGTCAGTGGAGCTGGCTCCTAAAACCCCTGACCTCGGTCAGGGCTGGACAAATCCCAGGTGCTGGGTTGATGTTCCTTAAAAATGACACCTGGCGTCTAACTTTTGACTTTTTCCTAGTTGTTGTCAGTAGAGCTGCCTCCTGCTGCCTTCTGGATTTGACAAACTGGCTCCTGAATTCCAAAATAATTTGTCCACCCCTGACTTAGATACATGTGTAGTTTGGATTCTTTGTTCTAAGAGTCAACAGGTAATCTTTCAAGTATCTGCTGTTGAAATAGGTAGAGGCACTCAGAGGCGGCGTTTACAAAGAGAAAAAAAGGTGAGCTAGAGAGCAAAGGTGACTTGGTCAGTCTATGATAAGGTGTAAATAAGGCGTAAGAAGGAACTGAGTGACGTTGACGTTTGTTTTTCTTTGTGACCGTAATAAGGAAATCTGCAGCACTTTCCCCTGGTGACATTGAAGATAATTAGGCCTTTTTTCACACACTGACTACAGCTAGAGCTATTTCCAAACCCTGACCCAGTGCTGTTAGAGGCCTGGTATTAGCAAAGCGAGGATATACCCTAGTTCGCGATTGTGTGTCTGTGCTGGTTGTGCCCTGTCATGCATGTATTTTATCCTGCAGCATGCTCACTTGGGAGGGAGGGACTGGGATGCATGCTGTACATTTTGTAGTGGGTGTGGATTATCATTGGGAATGGGAAGTGACCGTGAACTGTATTTTAAATATGTTTCTTCCCTGGCTATGTGAAGGAAGCAGAGATCCCCCAGGAGCTGATAGAGAAACTGGCTCACAGCGAAATCCACAGCATCCGTGACCTACAGCGCATCCTGGACATTGATTCCGTAGGTAAATTCAATTTCCTTTTTACCTTCTCATCTCTGATTTTATAGGTGGTCTCTTTTTTAAAGGGGCTGTATATGAAAATCGCTTTCCCAATAGTTCTCTAAAGCTATGTAAGCACAACTGTGTGCGTCTTTATTTTATCAGCGGTGTCTCTAAAGTAATTGTTTCCCTTGCCCTCCAAGCCTTTGCTGGTTTGATGTTAGCTCTGTCGCAGGCAGTGATACAAAGTAACGGAAGCATAGGAGAATGAGCCACAGCACAGAGCTAGGAGTCTACCACTAAGAGTGTCGAAGAGGACAGCCAGTAGTGTGCAAAGGATTTTGGAATGCTTTGTGCTCAAGTTATTTGCTTGTTTAATGTGTTAACACAGGGGCTAGGGCAGGTCAATTAAAAATATCACTCAATAAAATGAATACAAAGTAATAGTGCTGCAGGTCATCCAAAGTCCTATGGACCACTCCAATCAAATATCAAGACTCAAGATGAGCCCCAATAGTGGGATATGTTCTGGATGACATTTTGCGGTCAGAGCACATTTTAAATCTTTATGCTGTCTTTATGTTTTTTGAGTCGTATGTTCTTTGTTTAAACTCCTGCATATTATTAGCATCAATTCACAAATGTAATTCCTTTTTTATGGCTATATGTATATTTATGTTTTTATGGCTGTATGTTAATTGCTGATTTTATTGCTGAAAGGGCTTTGTGTATTAGATAGGAATATCACCCTGGGTAATAACCCTAGGTAAGGCATCATTTAGACCCTGGGTAAGGCACTATTAAGATTCAGGGCCTCTTCACACTTGTGCATCCTGTAACTAACACGTGTTTGTACATTAAGGTAGCCCATTCTTTTTGACTTGACTTTAATATATGAGTTTAAAGCACCAGTAAGCATTTTCTGCAGTGTAACGCTCAACAATTCACACTCTCCAGATTGTGGGACGCTGTACTGCAGGTGTGTTCATGAGTATTGGTTCCAAGTACCATTCGCACTCCTATGGTCTTATAGCATATAGGTATCTATGGTGCTCGAGGTGACCGCACGGATGGCGCCATGCAAATACTAACAGTAGATACAGAGATATCACCGGCAAACAATCGAAAATTCAAATATCAATAATCCATTGATATGTTTTTATTTTGGGAAAAATGTCACATCATGTCATACGGTGCTAACGTTTCGGGTCCTCACGGACGAGTACTCGAAAACGTTAGCACCGTATGACATGATGTGGCATCTCTGTATCTTCATGAGTATTGGGGGGCCATTATAAAAGATTATCACTGCGACACTTATAGCACTGTGCGTGAACATGGGATAGTTGAGTCATTTCTGCATAGGTAGAAAGCTGGCCTTACTTCCCATGGCAAGTTTGATGCCAGTTGGTGGCTATGGAGGTATAACTCCAGTTGCAAGTAAGAACTAATTAATTCGGATGGCTCTAAAGGTTCTGTTAGACTGAAGTTGCCAAATATGAGTCATATTTATCATGTATGTGGTATTCTGAATGTAAATATCAATTTGCACAGATTATCACACAAGTGTTAAATCGTCACAAAGCGTTTTGTTGCATGTTTCCCAAAGCGCGACAACGCTCAAAAAGAATCCCATTATTTTCAACGGTGGCCATTCACACCTGAGTGTCATGTCGCTTCATCTATAACCATGTTACAAAGTTACATAGTTAGTCAGGTTGAAAAAAGACACAAGTCTATCGAGTCCAACCTATAGTTTTTCACTAGCTTGTAGCCCAAAAAAGTACATTTACTTTTTTGTGGCAAAATTACACATAGTTGGTCCCCTAGATTTCGATAGGAGCGCCTCAAAAGCTCCTGAGCGTGAGCGTAAAAACTGTCTCCTCCTTCTAGTTACTAGCTTTCCATTGGATAAAGGTTCGAGCCTGAAAAGGTCTGGAAAATGTGTGAAACAATGTGCAGAAATGCTTCAAAATCACCTAAAACCACTCACACTCAAGCGTGAATGGTGGCTGAAGTGTGAATGGTAGGTCAAGGGTGAATGGTGGCTGAAGTGTGAATGGTAGGTCAAGTGTGAATGGTAGGCCAAGTGTGAATGGAGACTCAAATGTGAATGGTGGCTCAAGTGTAATAAATAACAATTCAAGAAAAAGACATGCTCCTTTAAGAAATATATCATTAGATAAAATAACTTGTTCAGTTTATTGAATTGACTTTAATGCCAGACAATATTAGAAGCTAACATTCTATATTTGTCTTTAGCCTCTATGTTCACATCAGAACACAATTGGTTAAAGAGATGAAAGGTCAGATTTCTGGGCCATAAACAGCAGCTGAGCCATTGATAAAGGAATGGCGCTTATAATGAGTGGGTGTGACTTTACTCTCTTGGGAGAGAAGGACTAAACCTTAGTTGTTATATAAGGTGACCTGTGTTCATGTTCATTGCCTACTCCCTGATGAAAAGGCTGCTGGTCTGATTATTATGCTTTGTGTAGCTGCTTTAAGGTCCATCTGTTGATGTTGGAATTTTAATAGAAAGTCTAAGTTGCAACAAGGTGGTCAAGCTTAGATAGTGATTCTGTATACATATCTTCTGGATTGGTTTGTACAGAGGCGTTAAAATCAGTTCCCGGTAGCTTTACACAATGCTAGTCCTAAAATATGGCTGTACCTTTTATAGTTTACTTTTGTCACCAGCCCCCCTGCAAGTCTTTTATACTCATGTGTTCCTGATACTTCAAGATATCATCCACAAAGCTGTTGAGCAGCTTATCGGAATTTTTTGAGGTGGGCCCACGGCTTTGCTGAACACTCTCCTTTTAATCCTATGGAGAGTTTGTACTCCACAAGAGCGTCTTTGCTGGAGAAAATGCTGCTCTAGGCTTCCTTCAGTGCTGGCCACATGTCACAGGCTTATGCTCTTGGTCCCTTGATTTCTGCTGAAGGGTAGGAGGACAATCTGAACTCTGACCATTCTCTTTAGTGGTGTTAACATGACCACTTCTTACCTGTCTAGCACTAAATGAAACATCTTTTGCTGGAAAGGGAAGTATCTGATATTGTTAAAAGAATATCCAACCTTTGTGATCATGTTACACCCATATTTAAAGTGTAACATGAGACATGGTCACAATTGCCAGCCACCCACCCTCCTGAATCGCAGGATCCTATTTGCATTTGAATTCCTCGTGGCTGTTCATGGCTCCATATGCATCATTATTTTAAAGGATCTGTGAATGAAAAGACTACAGGTGCCATCTGCCACTGCAACAGATGGACTCGTAGATCCCATTGGAGCATATATGCAGTGACATCACAGCACTTGTAGTCTATGTCCTTCATTCCCATAACAGAAGGTATGTATCTTTGTACTGGCAGGGGCTGGAGCAATAGTTTTAACCTGGAAATTCCGTTGGGCCACCCGACCAATCTGCCGCAGGCCAGGGCATTCCCTGCCCAATAGCTGCACATAAGCAAAGGGGTGGGATGCTTGTGCTGACCTATTGAACTTATATGGCCCCAAAGGGGGGTCAATGTCATTGACCAATATAGCCACATGGACTTCAAAGCATCCCGTCCCTTTGCTTGTGCGCAGCTGTGGATAGGAAATTCCCCGCTAGCAGTGGAAGGAGCTTCCTTCCACATTGGGAGTAGCTCAGGCTCGGAGTGAACCCGCCTGTAGGAGCCTGTGCATTGCTCCCTCAATCCACTGATCGTAGTTGCAATGCTTTGCAGGCTTCAATGCAAAAAAATTAATACATGCAGATTTCTTTCGTTATGTGTGTGCGTCTAATAATTTGTCTTAAAAGGTGGATTATTCATTTAATATATTCAATTTATATCTGACATTTGAGTATCCGTCCACTTTAAGGCACCATTTAGTTGTACAGTGTAATAATAATTTAGTGAAACATTTTCATACTGGAAATTCAAAGTATCCTTAATTTTCTCTGTAGAACTTTGTTGCATGAAAGCAAGTCACATTCAGCAAGAAAGTGTTGCACTATCACAGGGTTAATTGTGACCGGTAGCTGAAAGAAGTTATTCCCACAATGACTAGTCAATTTTTCACTAGCTATCCAGCCCCAGAAATGGAAAGTGAGACTTCTTGTATCACACAAACTGCCTCATTTACCAGCATATGCCAGGGGTGAGCAAACTCTGTCCTCCAGCTGTGGTGAAACTGCAAACCCCATCATGCATCTGAATCTGAGACTCATGCCTGTGGCTGTAAGAGTCTTGCAATGCCTCATGGGATTTGTAGTTGCACCACAGCTGGAGGGCCGAGGTTTGTCTACTCCTGGTGTATACGAAACAAGTGTATTACCCGCAACTGCTAATTAGATCCCTACACACAGCATCCTTCTTTCAGAAAGGCAGAATCTGATTGGTTGTTGTGGGAAACGTAGTTCCACTCGAACATATGGTTGATAAAAAGCAGAAGGATGATTTTGTTTTGTTTATCTTTTTGTAATGGTCTTTTTTTCACCACAGCTTGTTATGCTTTTTAGTAATTGTGTTGCCTTTGCCGTATTGCAAAACTTGTATTCATAGTTTTGACTTCCGTTCTGGGAAATCACCATACTGATTTTGTAACGTAATTACCAAACATGCCTCAAAAAGCCTTAGGGGAAGAAATGTGCAATCATTATTTCAATTATCTAGGATTATACGGCACCATATTTTCGCTGCTTTCTACCTGTTGACAGAACATTTTTTTTTTGAGAGCCATAAAGTGGGAGGAAAGATTATGCCTGGTGGTGAAAAGCTAGCTGACAATAGCCGTGTTATGATCGTGTCTCTAATGAATAGGAAGAGTCTTTGATGACATTTGGGTGGCAGCTTCTGTCGAGTGCATGCCTTTAGCAATTTTCTCTGCCTTGCTTTTGAAGTCATGTTGAGGCCTACTAACTTTGGCCTTCCTCATAAATAATAAAAAGCTATTTTCCTCTTTTTTTTGTGTGTGTGTTGGGTATTTAAACAAATTGGTGGCGAGGGATCACGTAGCCTGTTGGAACAAG